ATCAATCAGAAGATAAAGAAAGTCAGTTAGTGAAGATGGTTTTATCGGATCCATTGCATTTAAGGATGCAACATGGCAAATGTGTACACTTGGCTGGTTACGTCTCAGCTGAGGATTGGGTAACTGTTACAAAACAAATAAATACTAACAGGACCCTTGTGAGTGCAACTCCAGAAATCAATGCCCTAATTCTTTTAGGAAAGTGACACTATTATGTTCTGATAAACAAACAAAAAGGATATAAAAGAATTTTCATATTAAACAAAGAAGAAACTTGCAATGTTATTTTTACCAGCACACGCCTTCATTTGCCTTAGGAAGGTTTCAGTAAGAACCAAAACAGAAGTCTATACCTTACAGCATTTTATGTGCTTGGCAAATCAGCAGCTCTGTAAACTCTATCTTCTATATCACTTTCCTGAAGCCTACTTATCCTAAAGTGCATTAAAAGCATTTGCACAGATGCAGGAAAGTACTGTACATGTGATTCTTATGCTTAACTTTGACTAGAAAATAAAGCAAATGTAGTAGTGCATGTTTTGTAGCCTTTGGAGCATGGTACATTTAACACTCAGTTACCTACCTGACTTTTTAATTGCAACATGTCTAGACAAAGACCAATGTTAATCACTGCATCTTTCTCTCACTACATTCTATGTACATTCATATAAATAGCACTTGCACTCCTGGCAGACACATGTAGACATACACACAAATCACCACTTGCAGTACACTCTGTAGGCTGTCACCAACATGTCATTTTTTATCAGCATTATTTTCAAGTAGGGATGGAATGATTCAAATAAGGGAGGTTGACATTCTCGAAAGATTATCCAGGAAAATATATAATCATTTGCCAGAAAATAAACGCAGAGACTACTTGGGCTTTAAGCAGAACTGTGTCACAGATCATTCATCATCATTTTGCTGACCCAGTTAATTTTCCAGTTCCATAAAAGCTAGGTTTTTTTTTGTGCCTGTTTGTTGAACAGGCCAATCCAAGTTGACGTGTCTCAGATTTGACCCAGCATTTCCATGGGTAGCTCATCATGCCATCTCTTTAGTCTCCCTTCCTCCTTGCTCAGACAAGCAGGGCATTGAGGAGGATTTTCTGCCTGGGAACACCTGGTCATGGCAGCGACTTGCTGCTAAGTAGGATGAGAACACAACATTGGTCAGGCTCTGGCACAGCTGCCCAGGGAGCTGGTGGAGTCCCTGTCCCTGGAGGTGTTTGAGAACCATGGAGGTGTGGCACTGAGGGAAGTGGTTAGTGGGGATGGTTTGATGGTTGGACTTGGGGATCTTACAGGCCTTTCCCAACTGTAATGATTCTATGATTCAAAGTCCAGTGGCAGCCTCTGCGCTCGTCCTAGATACACTGGGCTCATCTCCAGAACATGCCACATTCCCCTGAGGGCAAACAGACTTGCCAGCAATGACTTGATTCCTTTTGCAGCAGGCAGCAGATTGGACCTAAGGAGCACATCACAGCTGTTTTAGCTGCAGCAACCCCAGGGGATCTGCAGGATGTGACAACATTCCAGCCTTTTCACTGCTTGCTCTTTACTACACCGGAGGAGAAATGAGGGTAATTCCCAGCTGTCTACACATCTCTACTTTTTTTCCAGGGCTCTCTTGACACCTGGAAAATCCTTTTACAGCCACACAGCTTTAGGACTGCTTGGTGACGTCCTGCAGCTCTGGGTCTCTGAGCTGGGCTTTTTCTGCTGAGCTCCAATTTCCACATCACACCTTTCCACGTGGCTTGGCTGGAAATGAAAAACGTGTACTCATGATGACAAAGAATCAAGGCTGGAATATCTGCTGTGGTCTGGAAAGCAATGTGACTCTACTTATGAGTGGCACAAGAATGACAGCACCAGCCTGTGATGAAGTGCTGTGCCAGTGGGTAAGAGATCAGACAAAGCTTTATTCCTGAGCAAAGACTAATGTGTAAACACCAAGCTTTGGAGGCGAGTCTGGGCTTAAATGCATGTCCAGACCTGTGCTTAGAAGAGTGCAAACCCAGCTACGTGACTTCAGCAGGGTCAGGATGTGGCCATTAAAACTACAAAACAAAACAACACCCCAACAACAACAAGAAAACCAGCCCTGTAAAAGCAGTTGACGACTACTGGCTTCTTATTTTAGTGCTACCTATAAGAAAAGGGCAGAAGGTTCTTTTGACTCCCTCTTTTGTTTTGTCCAAGATCTCCTTAAAATATCAGAAAAGAGAAATACAATGCCCTTAAGGTATGCAACAGAAAAGACCCATACTCCTGGCTGGGAGCAAGATCACATTTGAAGTCTTTGTGCTACTCCAATTTTTATCATGGCTAATAACTCAAATTTAGAAGGAATTTCCCACACCTTTTTCTTCCTCATATTGGTTAACGTGCTTCATCTAACTCAGGTTTCAGAGATAGCTGACTTTCAGAGATTTCCCAGGATCCATTCAGTTGTTAAAGTATTCAGACAATTGGGACTACACTGTGTTTCACTCAGTAAGAAGAGAACAGAGTGGATTTTATACTATGTGGGTCACTCCCATGAGTTTCCCAGTTTGGATTAACCCAGATTTCAATGATTGCTTGCTTATTACAGAGAAAAGTAAACGCAGTTCATGATTAACAGTAACAAAAATGTTACTCCGATCTCTCCTATATTTTAAAATCTAAATAAAAGCTTGAAAAAAATCAGGTTCAGATCTGTAAAGATGGAAAAGAAAACCAGAGCACCCCTGAGCATGATCCTGAAGTGGTCTTCCCTGGATCTCAGACCACGACAGGTGGTGGGTCTGACAGCTTCTAACAGTGGGTAATCTCTAACTAGAAGAAGCACAAGGATTTCTTAAGTGCATAAGCCTTTTCAGAAAAATAAACTATAAATGCTTTAAACAAAAATTAGATAAACAAAACAATGAAGAAGGGAATACGGAATCATAACACAGCAAGATTAGGCCTTCAGATGATCTTAAAGCTGTATAGTAACACAAGGGTTTTAACCTACTGTATCCTATTAGTCCCTTTTTAACTCTGCTGTGCAAATGCAATTGCAAATAGCCTCAGAAGATGTGCAGAGGTTCAAGGAACAAACTGGATTTTTGATTTGTAAAGAGGGATTTTTGTTTGGCCAGTTCTATACTTGCTGTGCACTCTATTCCAGACTCACTGCTTACAGGAGGTAAATGTAATTTCATATAAAAGCTGCATAACCTAAAAGACATCTGCGTTTGTACAGAGAAATTATGTGTTCAAATGATGAGAAGTGAAAGGAACGCTTCATCATTAAGTATTTGCTGGACTTCTCACATGTTAAAACACTTGAACAGAGCAGATTTGTTTATCCAGTGTGCGACAGTGGCAGAAATCACCTCCCCCATATAAGAGGTCCCACTGCTGGCTGCATGCACTGTGTGTGAGAAATGGGAGTCTGACAACCACAGATATAGCCTAGGAGAGGTGAGAGAGGAATTTGATGAGTTATCTAGAAGTGATGAGGCTTTAAGATGAATAACACCGCAGAAAAATGTTCTTATTTACTGTGCATTTCTTAATATCACTAACTTAAAAGCATAATTTATGCTCCTTATACATTAATATCTTACACATATTCACCTTTTCACTTTTCTTATCACAAGTTCAAATTGCTAGGGATGTTTAAAGGATGGACAAGAACTAGGAGAACTACAGTGTTTCTAGTTAAAAACACATACACAAAGGCAAGGATAGCTAAATAGAGGGAAAAGTTTTATTTGCAGTAGATGTAAAAAAATATCCTAACACAAAAAAAGGGATCAGTACAAGGGGCTCAGTGTAACGCCTGCCAAAACCAAGCAATTTGCAGTAATGTATTGCACTCACTACAAATTGGAAAGGAATTTAAGACCAAAATAAATGCATGAACGTACAGCTGGGAAATGCTCTATTTATGGTAGATAACATTTTTGTTGGGCATTTAAAAATGTTTACAAAGTAGAAGAGCAAAAAAATTTACTTTTTAACCATGTAAATAAATGAACAGGAATGAACTGAAATGTAACTATTGAAATAGAACAGGGAGCACTTGTATCAAGGGTATAAATGAAGGATAAATAAAGGATAAAATATTACAGGGGATGCCTACTTTAAAAAAAAAAAAAGACCTGATGCTCTTTCAAATGTGAGCGTGCAGCAATCACACTCCTAAGAGCAGATGTATCTTCACTGGGTTTGTAATAGCAGAACAAAAAGTCCCATATGTGCTCAGGTTAAACAGCACTCCCCAGATAGAAATGGTCAAACTGGTTTATAAACCTGCCTACAAAAGAGGATGCAGAAGATAATCCCAAGGAATTTGATTAAGTGCTTAAGAGCCTACAATCATTCAGGAGGTAATACATTACATTAATACAGGTATCAGAGTATTTATGTATTATGTAAACACTGTTAGCATAGAAAATTAAACAAGTTGATTAAATGCTAAAATGAGATGTCATTGAGATGATCTTGATATTCACTGGATAAATTCACTGTCTGATTCATGTAAAAAAACATTCATAGTTCCACTATAACAAAGCCACTCGATTCTGACTGTTAGATTCTGAGGGCAATTGAGAAGACTTGTATAGGCTGTAGATGGTAGAGTCATTCTGGAACATCCTTGTAGACTGAAACCTATAAAATCTGTACCCACAATTCACTTTCTAGTCATTTAAATAGGGCATTTCAAAATTATATACAATAGAACTGAAAAAAATGTTATGGTCTAGAAAAGAAAGCCCAGAGCTCCATCAGTGCAAGCACAGAAGTGTTGGGAACCATTCTGCAGGATTCCATGCTGCCCAGCACCTACCTAAAAATGAGGTTTCTATAATGTAGAACACTTCCTGCTGTTCAGAAAAACCATCAAGAGGCTGCAAAAGGAGCTTCTGGTGACTTATGCTTCCCCATAGTAAAATCCAAAAGCTGCAGGAAAATACGTTTTTAGAAATATGACTCAATACTATTATATCTTTCCAGAACATGAAGCAATATGACAAACTCAAGCATGAAATATGAAACGGATGAAGCATATCAGAGCATGGGAAAATAACTCCTGATGAAGTTCTGGATTACACTGTTACAGGTAAGGGGGTAGAAGTAAAACAAACAAACAAATAAACACTAAATGACCTTCCATGATTGTTCTTCTATCCCAGGAATGGTGTCTCCTCCACTCCAAGGGAAAGGCAGAATAATAGGAGTAGGCCTACCTGCTTAATATGGTCTGTCTGCACACTCCACTTGCATCTGAGATCTAACTAGTTACAGCCACTGTGCCATCCCCTTTTTATTAAAAGAATAAAATCTTCCTACGCCAGTACCACTCCCAACACCAGAATTGTTTGGCTAATTATTCACCCAGTGTACATACAAACTTCACGTTGCTGGGATGCTTTGTGATGAAATATGTGACTTGTCAACCCTTCATCTCCATAAAACTGATCCAGATGATCAAAGTATGACTCTTCTGAGTCCTGTGGGGAGCTCCCAGACTGCTTTTGCAGAGAGACGTGCTGCTGTTGTAGAGATGAATGCAGAGTGAGGAAAGCATGCAGCTTCTATTTTGGTAATAAGTGGTTCAGTAATGTGTGGTTTGATGGCGTATTTTTCACACCAGAGCAGCCCCACTGGGCACAAAGCTCAAAAGAAACAGTAGTGCAAGTCCTCAGAAAGAAAAAGTCAGGAAAATAAATATCACATTAGGCAGAGCAATTAAGTGGCTGCTATATATGTATTCTACTGCTATATGCTGAATAGGAATTGAGCAGCTAAAGAACATAAGTGTTCAGTTTTAAAAGCAGTCTTTCTTCGGTTGGAGTTATAATGGCATATTTATAAATAGAAGTTCTGGTCTTTTAATGTTATTCCCATGGAGAGGTGCTAAACATATGCACCCCACATTGCAACTCTTCAACTTGGCCTTGAGTTTTAAACTGTATTCTTAAATATAAACAATAATAATGGTCCATTGAAAACAGTTTTAAAGATCTATGATCCACACTGTCTGCCTAAAGGAAGATGGGGAAATTAAAAACTGAAAGAGAGAAATATTTCAGTAATAAAAGCTACAGCAGAGCAGACAATAAATGGAGTGCAGCCTTTCAACTCTTTAAAGCTGCATCGTGTCGCAGTCTATTCAACTGCATATCAGCACAAACTTTATGTACAGCAAACACGTCCTTTGTGTGTCACAAAGTATGAATGTACACGTGAGAGTCTCACATAGTTCTGTATCAAAAGCACAGAAAAAATAAACTCTGAAAAACAATGTTATAGAATGCTTGCTCTGGAAAATTACTATCAGAGACAAAACAAATCCACGCCAGAACACAGCCCTGTGGCATTACAGTATCCCTCGGGCAAATGGGGAAAGATAACCCTTCATGCAGCCAGACTACCAGCACTGGCACACAGACCAACAGACACTTCAGCAGAGTGTGGAAAGCATCAGTGATCCGTCAGGCCTTGAGCAGTCATGTGTAATAAAGCTCATCTGTTACAGGTACCTACCTGTGCTGCGTAGCTAGGGACAGACAGTATTTTCTTATTGCTAAAAATACATCCTTTCCCTCTTCAAAATGACAGAAGTATAACTTTGCCTGACCTATTTTTCATCCTTATTCATTCCGTGGAAATCTTGTAAAATTGACACCTAATTTCCAGGTGCTGTTGCTTAGCTTTCTAAATTATTAATAGGAGTGTAATAATTATCCCTTTTTATCATTACACGATACAGCCAATAGATGCAAAGAGTGCAATCACATCACCACCCTCATATCTGAGCACGTTTACAATATCAGAAGATCCCTCTGCCATTGTTAATTAATACGCTGTATTACAAAGATGCACTTTATGTTATGAACTAATTATGTATTAAGCTGATCTCACATAATTGTGTCAGCAGAGATCCAGGGTAGAGCACAAAATTTGGTACATATTTGGAAAATATGGACCAAAATCTAGGATGCCTGTCACGGTAGCCACCGTAGCTCTTTTCTCAAGTGACAAGTGATAGGGCATGAGGAAAAGGCCTCAGGTTGTGCCAGGCGAGGTTCAGATCAGGTATTGGAAGAATTTCTTCACGGAGAGGGAAACCAAGCATTGGAACAGGCTGCCCAGGTCAGGGGGGAGGCCCAGTCCCTGAAGGCATTCAGGAGATGTGTAAACATGGCACTAGGGCACATGGGTTAGTGGTGGGATGCAGTACATTCAGTTGATGGTTGGACTCAGTGATCTGTAAGGTCTTTTCCAACCCAGGTGGTTCTGTGATTTGGTTAGTGCATTCAAGAGTGGTGTCAGGTGGAGCCAGAAGGCTTCAATGCGTGGGGTGCACTTTGTGTACCAATCCTGACGTGGGTTTAGAAAGAAGAAATGAGATGCGCGGAGAAGAAGTGAGACTGGTTATGGGGAGTGTAAGGGAACTACTGAGGAGTGGAAAAACTTAACACATCTTCTAAATGTTCAGAATTATTTCGTAAGTGAAAACAGGGGATATTTCCATGTCACGGCATCTTTACAGCTATACTTGTACCAGCAAAGCTATGTCAGCAGAGTTCCCTATTAGCAACACAACCAACATGAGAGCTTTTCTGCTGTCCTGTCTCCCAAGTCCAATGCCAGACATCCTCATCTAGCCCTTCTGGTTGAGTGGGCTGAAGAAGTTCTGACTCTCAGTTGTCCATCAGAATCTGCCAGCTGTGAATTACACAGCTGGGCACACAAAGTAAATCCTGTGAGCGCTCTCATTTGCTTTGAACAAAGCTTCTAAACACTTTCATCAGCACTTTATATCACTCCACTGGACCTTGCCTCAAATGTGCTAGGGCACAGTATCTTCTGCCTGCAAATAGAGAGGGTTGCAGCCTCCATAACAAAAGCAGTAATAAGCCACAAGTGGACACTAAAGTCACAACTATTGGCAGTATGAATGTCTTGGCATGGCCTGATCAGTATCAGTCGAGGTAACAAAAGCACTTGCTGGTCAATAGCGGTGCATCTACACTTGTAACTTTTTCTGACACAGCTTTCAGCAGACATTTGTAGTACCAAAGCTTGAGATCACAGCCCCTGCTGGATTTAGCTCTATCTCCTAGAGACGTTTTTGCTCCCAGAGCTGTGAGGTATAGAAATGTTCAGCCACCGTAACTAAATTCAACAGAGATTGTTAAATGGAGCTCCTCACTACCAGAATGCGCATCTCACAAAGCTCAGCTCACTGATTTTACAAGGTGCTCATCCAGAGAAACAACCCACCTGCTGCCTTTGCTCTGCATCAGCCACCCTCTGGGAGAGAGGCAATGAAGACAAGTCAGGGCAGAAACCTCCTAAGTGATCACTGCACACGTGGCCGACCTTCAAGAGATCAGGCTCTAGAGCGAGCCAGCTGTGGGAAAATCAGGTATTTAGCAAAACACTAAGAAGATAAATCAGCATGAGATATGGGGAGTCTGGTTGCAGGTGGAAAACAGGGAACTGGAGCCCAGCTAAGAGGTGGGACAAAGAACAACTAATGAGTACCAAGCAATCTGGACAACTGCTTTCGCCCTCCTGCTGCCCTGCCCATCTGCTTGGAATTTGTTTTCAAAATAAGCTCTATTTGCCCGATTCCTGTCCTGATCCAAACTCGCATATTGTGGATCTGGTGCTGTCACTCAAAATCGCTAACAAAAGAAATGCTGAATTGAGAAACAAAGAGAAACTTCTTGTTTAACACACGCTGATAAATTTCCTTTAACTCATTCAGGTCTGGCTGGTTTATCACAGACATTTAAAGACAACAACGACGTTATATGACTAACTGTTACAAATTCATCACAAGTCCTGCCCGTGTCTGACATTTAAGTCCAAACAACCACACACTGTTGCAGAACCCCCTCCCCACCCCCATGAAATTCATTTACTGACCTCCCCTTCCAGAAGAATGAGGTCACCGGGATAATGAGCTCTCCACATCGATCTGTAAACAGCCTGATTCACTTTTTTTTTTTTTTTTTTTTTTCTCTCTACGAAAGAGGAGGAAGTTATGAAAGGAGCAGCTTGAACAAAAAGGGCTTCAGCTCCACCCAGCGGTAATAAGGAGCTTTTCACGCTATCCCTCTTCCACCTGTGTGCTTGGGCATGTGCCGCTGGCACGGCGTGAGCTGTTGTTATGGGGCTGAACAGCGATGTTGCCTTAGCTGCCTGTGCCTCTAAAAGATGAGGGTTAATCTTTACTCTGCATCAGCCGTCACTGTTCTTTTTTTGGTATTTGCAAAGACTGAACATTTCACTGTCTTCCAAATAACGTACCCAGAGAGGTTGTGGATGCCCCATCCCTGCAGGAATCCAAGGCCAGGCTGGATGTGGATCTGGGCAGCCTGGTCTGCTGGTTGGCGACCCTGCACATAGCAGGGGGTTGGAACTGGATGAGCATTGTGGGCCTTTGCAACCCAGGCCATTCTATGATTCTATGACCCCATCTAGATCTCGTGTCAGCAGCAATGTGGGGAATGTTGGTGGTGTGAAACTTCTCTATCTCCCACACGTGCATCTTACCCAGGTTTGTTTGTTTTTTTTTTCCTAACAAAGAACCACTTTCTGACCTAACCCTTGGAACTACTTTTAGACTTGGGGATGCTTTTAAGGAAGGTGTGAGTTTTCAAGGACAGAATAGCTCTTTACATTAACCTTACACTTTGAATGACAGGAATCTCAAGAAATTTAAAGCCAGTTCCTGCTTTTTTAGTTGATCAATAATTAAATAGTTCACAACACCTGACCTAATTAACGTTCAAATACACATCAGCAACTCTCAGGTGCTACAGCATGAACCTGTAACGTGTGAAGGCTTGGCAGATACCCTCCTTTCATCCATCCAAAAACTCAGCCTCACCATCAGCTGAATGCATTTTGCTTTTTGAGTAGCACTGAAACATCAATTTGTGACTTCTGGGAGCAGGTTCTGGATTAGAAGGACTGCTCAGAAATGTAAAATTTTGGGAACCCTTATTCTCATTCCTCCCTGTGACCTTCCTACTTGCCTCAGGTGCTCTCTGTTAACCTTTTGAATGTCTCATATTTACCTTTTAATTACTTCCATGTAAGAATTGTTACAGTGGTTATATTTACATTTCAATGTGTAGAATTTATCCATGGTTTTGAGATCCTAAATAGATGCAGTGCTTCTTTTTTTTTTTTTTTTTTTAATCTAAATAGTTCAAAACATGTGAAATCTGAAATATATTTTAAACAAATGTGTGCTGCATGTAAGCAAAACTGTCATTTTTTCCTGTCTGACATTTCCAAACCTATTTGCCTCATCTATTCTCCTTTCTCTTTATCTCTCCCCTATGTACATATCTGCCTATATTTGTTTTCATTTTAATAGTATTTTCCACCACAAAAGTGATATGATATTTTTAGCTATCAAACTATATCACTTTCAGTAATTAAGGTTTGAAAATGATACACAAATAACATTAAAAAAAAAAACAGCCATCCTTTCTTCTCCCACGCAAAATGTAATTTATAAAACCAATATTTCACACAGCTTCATAACAGCTATTTCATTTTTCAGCTCATCAGTGACAAAACCAGTTCAAGTTAGTTTTATACATATGGAATGACAATTGGCACACTGCACTGAGTAAGGCATCATGATGGTTTTACTTACAGGAGAAAGGGAAGCAGCTAATTCATGCAGGCTCTATTGCCCGGATAATAACATCAGTCTGTCATGGGGCAGAGCATGGAGGAAAGGGCTGCTGTGCAGGACAGGCAAAATGAGGCTTCCTGAGGGAACCTAGCAGAGAATGTTGTGCTCTGGCTGTAGCCACATAGCCCCCATCACACACTGCTTCTGCCACCAGCAACACCACAGGGAAGAGGCAGAATTGCCTTACTTTGAATTCAGCAGGCATCTCACCAAAACACCTCAAAGTGTGACACCTTGCTAGCACACGTCTGTGATGCTAAGGGAGTCTGGGAACCCCGTGCTTTGAAATAACACTCAGTCCTGAAAGAAATCTGTCTTGTTGCCTATACAGCCTGGGTTTTCAGCTCTTACACTTGGAATCTGAGGCACTGCTGAGCAACGCCATGCTGCCAAGAACGTCTTCCACCCTTGTGCAGATAGGACATACTGCTAGACGAGCATCTTTCATTTCTCACACCTAACATTCACATATGCAACAAAGTCAAGAGAATCGGCTTAAAAATACTAAAAGTGCCTTTCCTGGGTGATTCAGTCCCCAGTGACACCCTGCACCAGGACAAAGACGTGTAGCTGGGCAAGCAGCAACCAGAATATGGCCCAGGGGAGCTGAACGTGTACCATGTCACCCATCCTTCCCTCTTCTGTATAACTTAGAGACACAGCATCTTTTGAAACAGCCCTAACCCTAACCTTTCTCTGCATATGTAATGAATTGCCTAGCAATTCTGAGAGAAAGAAAACACGAGAGCATTTTCTGCACGTTAATCAAATGTCCGGAGCAAACTGTGAGCAAAGCCAGCAGCAGCTCTGACAAAGTGTGACCCCATTCTCCCTCAATCTGTGCCCATCTCCATACTTTTTGTGAAGAGTTATTGGTGGCTTAGGACTGTCTTATCAATTTAGAGCATTTTTATAATGCAGGATTTTTATTTCTTAAATGGAAATGTATATTTCCACTTGATATAGGGAAAGCAAAACCCATTAGAAATATGGCAGGAAAATTTCTAAAAAAGGGGTTGTTTTTACAACCAGATGATCTTTATTTTTATTCCTCCCCTCCCCCCCCAGATTTTCCTTTCCTGTGTCATATAGCAAAGCCAGAAGATGACAAATATTTGTGTTCTTGTCTGTAGCCCAGGCCCCTTGTTTCTGGACTTTGATTAAACCATGGAACAGTTTGGATTGGAAGGAACTTTTAAGACCACCTAGTTCCCCCCCCACCCCACCCCTGCTGTAGAAGGGACACCTCCCACCAGACCAGGTTGCTTACAGCCCCATCCAGCCTGGTCTTGAATGCTTCCAGGGAAGGAGCATCCACAACCATCACTGGGCAACCTGTTCCAATGTCTCACTGTTCTCGCAATAAAGACTTTCTTCCTAATATCTAATCTAAATCTACCTTCTTCCAGCTTAAAACCATTTCCCCTTGTTCTATCATTACCTGCCCTTATAAAAAGTCCCTCCCAGTTTTCCTGGCTCCTTCAGGTACTGGAAGGTCACTGTAAGGTCTCCTTGGAGCCTCCTGTTCTCCAGGCTGAAGAGCCCCAGCTCTCTCAGCCTATCCCTGTAGGGAAGATGCCCCAGCCCTCTGAGCATCTTTGTGGCCCTACCTCTGGACCAGCTCCAAAAGCTTCATGTCCTCCTTGTGTTGGAGGATCTTGGCCAAATCTTGGCCAAATCCAGCCTGATGACACAGCTCCAAACACTCCTGTGATACTCAGAATTTTTTTTCAGGGAGAAAAAGAAATTCATAGCCTGTCACCTTCTAATGATGACCAAAACCACAGTTCATATTTCACTTAAGTTCCACCAGGTCGATTAAGCCTGTCAGACACATTACTATTAGGCCACAACAAACAAGCAAGAAAGAAAAGCAAGCTATTACCAAAGTTAGCAGTAAAGCTGAGGGGCAGAAATGCTTCTGAGATATTTTCATGAAACATTAACCTTCAAACATAATTACTACAGTGCACTGAAATTGCACTTGAAGGCTGCATTGTTGAGGAGCATTGCGGTAAAACTGGCCTGCAGGGCAAGAACGTGGCAGGTAAACAAAAGCAGTATCTGTGCAGAGATAATGGGATACAGGTCAAAGCATTAAAAGTGTAGCTTTAGGGGATGGAGGTGCTGTTACCAACAGGAGATTTTCCCACTTTCCACATACCAGTAGAGGTGATGGTGACTTGTTTGACATTGCACAAACAGTAATCTTTGAAGACAGCCAATACTGAATCATAAGCTGAGCATAAAACTGATACAGTCCCCACTAAGATCTTGTAAATTTGAAACCATTTTATTATCTGGAAAAGTTATTAAGCTAGATTTGCACTGGGAAGTTGAACATTTACATTTTGCCTTGGGTAAAAGGAATAAACGTCTCAGACTTTTTTGCCCTATTTTGCGGATTCATGCATTAAGAGCAAACAAAAGGTAATCATTCGAAATCTTCCACGGTTACAGGCTCTCTATATCCTGCCTGAATTATCTGTAAAGTACAGAGACCGAGACTATGCACTCTAAAAACATGGCAAGAAGATGGGACAATGGCTGCTGTTTCCAGGTTACTGCATTACTCAGTGTGATACCCATCACAATCAGAGCACCACTTCTGGAAATAAGCCTTGGACCAGGCCACAGCTTCTATCACAGAAGGACATTAGGTTGTAGCTGGGATGTTTGGGAACACGGATGAGGCACAGAGCCAATGAAGGAGTCAGGAAATACTGACTTGCTGTGCAGCACTGGGCAGGTCTCCTTCACTCAGTTTCTCCTACTGTAAAACAGAGCAATGAAGTTTGTTAAAGCTCCTTACCAACTTACTTTGCTCTGGAAATGGGAAGACTACATAAGCAGACAGAAATGCTTTTATTGTTCTAGAGAGAACATTACAGCTTTCTCTAACTTTCTATTGAATTAAATGTAACTGGGGCTTCAGCTCATTACGGCTGAAGCTCTGTGCCAGACTGCAAGGACCCTTTGGATTTATCCACATCATCTCAGAAATCTTCATGCTCTGATGACTATGATAATTTTGTGCTTTAAAGCCACTAATGCTTCAGTCAGAGCTCAGCTCCGGGGATTTGATAGCACTATTGTCATTGGCATTCACCTCTGCAGGGGGCTCTTCTGACTCCAGAGATGTGCGCATCAGGAAAGAGGCTGGTAGGAAAGGCTGGGAATCAGGAAAGTGCACATTTTACCTA